ACCGGGGGACTCAGCAAACACAGTTTTAACTGATGGAGTTGACTGAAGTCTTGGATGTTTAGGACAATACCAGAATTTAATGAAACAGTGAATTATTCTTGTCTGGGGACATAATAGCTCACTGTTGAAGACCTGATCTCAGTTTGGGAAAAAAGCCCCCACTTCTAACACATTTCAAAAACATAAAATTCAAACAAGCAATGAATAATTTGACAGATGCAAACACATCCATTTTGTTTTTCTATACACCCCTTCACTTTACTACTTCAAAATTTCAAAGTATCCAAGTACTCCAAAAAGAATTTCACAATAATCCAGCAGCCAGAAAAAATCACTTTGACAAGGATTTTAAGAGCACACAAACACCCCCGCACCACCACCATCTGCTCCGTGGATGCATTCACAGGCCAGAACAGCATCCCAGCTGCTCCCCAGGAGCTGCGTGGCCCAGGAAAAGCTGTGACTTGCAACCTGAGAGTAGCAAAAGCCACCTCAGAGCTGCTCTCCAAAGTGTTCCAAACTCCAAGCAATCTCAAAGGGTTTTATTTTTGCTTCAGACTATCCCTTTAACATGATCATTTTCCCCATGGATTGTAATGAAGTCAGCAAGAAGCCACTTAAGCTTGCATAAGGCTGCAGGAAATCTGCAAAGAGCTGAGGCTCTCACAGGCCCAAAGCCGTGCTGTGCCTGTTAGCTCACGTTTCCACAGCTCTGCTCAGCTGCACCTCCTGCCTCCTCCACATCCCTCACACCCATTGTGATGAATATTGTGATGAATATTGTGATGAATATTGTGATGAATATTGTTTTCCCCCTGCTTCTCACAGGAGAAGCTCCCTGGTTGTTTCACAGCTGCGACTTTGCTGCCTGGGCACATTTGCCACTGTTTTCAGCAGGAGCCAGATCAGACACCACATCTGGGAAGGCTGTTCCACAGCCTCTGCATTAAATTCCATTTCACTCCACAGATAGAGCCTTTTGTAAAAGCAGCACTTCTACTCAAAGCCAGAGAACACACCGGTGCCAGTAAAGAGCACGTGCTCCCACCGAGGTTTAAACGTGCAAAGCAATTGACAAAGCAACCCCAAAACGAACAACCGCCACAAATGAATGAGGAATGAGTAAATATCCTCTTTCAGCAGGAAGTCAAGTACAAATGCAAAGTATTCTACCTCCTCTAAGAAAACTCTAAAGCCCCTTGCTCCCCAGGGCCTGAAGGTGATGCTGATGCTGACACTGGCACCAGCGGGAGCCTGGCCCATGGGAAGGCAGAGGGGCACTGGGATGTGTGGGTGCTTGCAGCTCCCAGCTGTGTCCCTACACAGCCCAAATGCACTGCTCAGGGCCAGGCTTTCAGAAAAATGATGCTATAGTATGTGCTATACCATAAAGGAAACCACAGAAACGTAAAAAACCAATTTTATCAAAGTCTCCTTTCCCATGAAGCTTTTCCAGTCAAAACAGGTGGAGTCCTTTAGTTTGCAATCAGGCCTAACAAGGAAAAGGTGAGCATCGTTGGGGCATGAACTAAACATTGCTTAAGCTCGTTATTCTCATTTTCTTTCACAGCTGAGTAAATTGGAATGATTTATCTCCTTAAGATGTATTTGGGAGTCACACACAGAAAGAACACCTCAGGCAAATGAAAGCTACAACCACCTTTAATACACAGAAAGCTTTTATCATTACACTGATGCATCAGTAAGTTACTACTTCATGATGAAACACCATTTTAAAGGTTATTTGAAGTTTTACTCCTTTCATTTATGGATCTGACAAGGCAAAAATTTTGTTCTAAGTTTATATTTTGTATGAACTAAAGCCATTTAAATGTCTGCACTCAGATTACAAGTGGTTAGGGCTCACCTACCACTTCTCCTTCTCTCCTGATGCAATTCCCTTCTTGAACTTACAAATAAGTTTTGATTTTTCATAGATGTGTGCATCTCCAAGTCCAAAGGCTTTTGTAAAATTAAAACCCCCAGTAATTTTTCTGGATGCAGAAGACCCAGAATTATTTCCTTAAGCTTTTTCCACTTTTCCATGTGTATTTGCTGATTCTCCAAACCAGTATCTACTAGTCTCATTGAATGATGTATTTTTAAACAAACTCAAAAGCACAACCCACATTCTTCCCTGCAAGGGTCTCAAGTAAAAGTGCACTCTGAGCTAATCTCGACTTCCTTTAATGAACAGCACTTCTGTCTAGGGAAGACTACAGATGGCAAATTCCTTGGAAAAGGTTACAATTTATGTGAAGAGCACACAACAGAATAAAAAAATTACTTCATGATTCAGTGGAGCATGCTCCTATTTAAATAAGTGTTACTATATTTACTTCTCTAGAACTAAAACACAGTGACTCCTCCAGGAAAACACTCGGACCACAGCTCAAAAAAAAAAAGTGTGTTATGTAAACAGCATCTGTCAAAACAGGAGGACAAGGCCCAGCACTTGGCCATGTAACCTGAGCCAGCGACCCTGGGCACACAGATTGTGACTCTGAAACCTGATACTGTCACTCTCCTTTGCAGTGCCTCAGCAGCACCCCTGGCCAAATAACACCCCCCCACCAATGTGGGGTTTATTTTTCCTCTGCAGTCAGAGCACACGTTGGGAAAGCCAAGAGCAGGTCTTGCTCCCAAACAAGAGACTTTCATATTTGAAGCACAACTAACTTGCTCCCTGTCTTGGATGAAGTTAGGAAACACATCCAAGGAGGAGTTACCCATCTGACTGGGAAAGAGCATGCCTGCCCTGCAGCTGACAGCAGCACCTTGAAAACAGCAACATTGCTGCTCACAAACACGTGCTTGTAGCACAGCTTGGCTGTGCCCAAAGGCAGGCAGAAGCTGAACACCCTCAGGTAACTGAAATCACTTGGTATTTAAAAAAGGCATATCCCACTATTTCTGTTCCAGTTCCACTACAGAGCAAAAGCAATGGTGTGCACTCAAACACTGCGTGCACAGAGCTGCTGAGTGCCACAGCAACATCTCACACAGCTGCCTATTGCAGGGAGCTGAACTAAGACAAAGGAAAACAACCCCAGGCCTGCAAGGGCTCCTGTAGGTACAGAAACCCTCAAATCATGAGCCATTCAGAATACTTGTGTACACTGTCCAACACACACATTCAACGTTTCGGTGCTCTGACTTCCTTTCAATTCCAATGCATTTGCTTCCACCTTTTGGGATAATGAATGGAAGGAAGTTTCCAAAGTGGCTCCTGGTGACTACATTCATCTCCAGCCCTCCCCCATCAACACCATGCACTGGTTTTCATCACCCAGACGGGGACAGCTGACACCGATCTCCCTCGCTGTGGCTGATAAGCACAACCACGCAGTGGAAACAGCAGAACCTAAGACATCTGGCTATCAGCACTCTGCCATGTTTCCAAAACATGAGAACTGGGACAACTGGATCCTCCTGAGGCAGCGCCTGAGAGCTGAGGTGCAGCAAGGCTGGATACCTGTGCCCTGCCTCCGTGTCCGTTCCAGGGTGTGTCAGGCACTGGTAGTATCAGTGAGACAAATTTTTGGATGGTTATTCTTGTGCAGCTATTTGAATTCAGTGTGTTAAGCTCTGTACAATATTATTGTAAAAATATATTTCAAAGAAACAGCTTAGAACAGTTTCTAAAATGCAGAAATTCCATTTATTATATTGAGAATTTCAATTGCAAGAAGTCCTGCAATGCATTCTCTTCACTCTAAATACAATACAGTACACTGTTCTCCACAATAAGTTACATAAAGGCAAATTTTATATACATATAAAAAAGGATCAGTGCCCAGAACTATTTGCACAGCATATCTGCTATTCAGAAATCAATCACTTGAATTTTTAGTTGCCTTCAGAATTCTTGAGCAAAATAAATCCATAAACAGATCTTAATTACCTGGTTTGAGAAAGGTTTTCAACTAATAGCTAAACTCAGCAGAAACCATGCAAATGGTTTAACCACTGAATTGGCATTCTCTGCATTCATTCTATAAACAAATGTGTTAAAAAATGAGGCATGCCATATGGTATCATATAAGACAACACGGAGAAAAATGACCTGCCTGCATTTGAACTGTTTATGCATCTCAAAACAACCAAAAGGGAAGTACCAAAATAGTAGTGCCATTGTACAAGGCACTAATGAGACCACAGTGTAATTCTGCTTAAACATGCTCAAAAAAACCCAACAAGCAAAAAAAAAAAAACCCAGAGGAAAAAAAACCAAACACTTTAAAACATCCTCCAACTGAAAAGTGAAGAATAAGGCTACCAGGATGATCAGTGGAATGAAGAGCATTGTATAAAGAAAGACTGCAATAGCACTTGATTTTTCAGTCACTGAAACAACTGAGAATACATGACACCTTACAAAAACATGTCAGGAAAATGCCCAAAAGAGAAAGAATGCACAAGGAAAATATTGGCATAATAGCAAACAGGCCTCTAATAAATTCATATGGGAATGAAAAGATGGTTCCTCAACTTAAAGGATGAGATACATAGGCAGGGCCTTGGAATAAGAAGGAGTGGGGCCAAAAATATTTAAGCAAAGAAGTTTGATAGCACAGCTCAGTTTATAGAAGGGATGTGGCATCTACTGTGGGAAAGGAGCAGGCACAGAAACACCCAGCTGGAATGTTCCCAACTTGTCTGATCCATCTCTGAAATAGGAAGTATCCTTTGCAGTGTGAACTTCCATTATATGCTCGAAAATTCCACTTAAAAGGATTTTCGTTCCCACACCCCCAAATTATTTCTATTCAACCACGTCAATGTCTGTTGATACAGCGAATCAACAGTGGCACCAAGCCCTTACTGCGGAATCAGCACCCTGCACAGCTGCTGGTGTCATGGTCAGCATGTCCATACACCTTTCACGGTGAGATTATTTTTCCACACCTTTCTCTTGCCTCTATAATGGAGTCTAAGCATAGTATCCTTCTAAAGTCACAGTGCAGTGAGCCATACAGACTGAAAATACTCAGGACACGAAAGATTATTTAATTTAATTCTCAAAAGAATGCAAATGTAAGAACAGAAATGTACCACATGGAAAAGTGTTGAATTGTACATTCCACAGATTTTTCCAGTTGATACTGAAGACACTTTCCTTCAACTACATATGCTGTCCAACTTAGCTGAGGTGCTTGAGCTCACAAGATACGTAGGTAAGAGCATATCAGTCAAAGGATTACCCAGAAAACAAATACGAGAACGAAAAACCCTCTAAACTCTTCTTCACTGAAAAAGAGAGGCACTGCATTTGTAAGCTGAATTAAGGCTGTAAAATGATGCTGGTTCACTGTGAATTTGAAGTCACCGAGGGCCCCGGGGAGCCCTTCAGCCCACGGCCTCGCTGTTAGTCCTGTAGGCCTGCTTGCGGAGGTGCGCCTCGATCTCGTCCCTGAACACCAGCATGCCCAGGTGCGAGTGCGACGCCTCGTTCATGGCTTTGGACTGGATGCACATGCGGTACTGCTCCGGGGTCAGCTCGTCCGCACAGTGCTTCTCGTGCCACAGGTGGAACAGCCCAGGCACCGGCGTCCTGATCACCATCAGCTCGCCGTGCAAGTACTTCCTGTACAGGTGAACGTCCTCGCCGCCCCAGCCTTTCACTTCCAAGTCAAATCCCCCTACAAAAACAGCATCAGAAATCGTTATTTGCGTGCACGGGCAAGAAGAGCGACACTTTGTGCCTAACGTGTTACCAGATCTGGCATTACATTCCAGAAATTGTGCTGCCATTATCTGAGTTTCCCATGCCATAGCATGCCAATTTGAGGGACAGGAGCTTCCCTTGAATACCACATCCTTTGCGGTGGAAACTGTCCAGGACACAGATCTGCTGACTTCAGAAAGTCTCTTAGAGCAGTGTCTCCAAATTGCATTATGCATGACAGCTCATGTGACAGCTGCAGAAAACTGTAGGCAAACCTCAGTGCTATGCTTTTGGATTATTTTTAGGAAGCATAATGGATTTTAGCAGCTGGAAAATGAAGCAGTCATGCACCGCATGAGAAATCCTCTCTAACAATGCCAGCAACTACTCCATAGGTCACAATTCAAGAGGCTGGATTAAGGAAAGGAACATGGTTCACCATTTTAAGTTCTCTTGTTTTTCCAGGACCACAGTGAAGAGCAACCCAGGCTCCTGTACAATTTCAAAACTCCAGAACGATGAAGTCTTCATTCAGCACATACCATACAGATGGCAATATGACTGCTATTAGCAATCAGCCTGCACTCAGGCCATCGGACATCAGCACACAGGGCTGTGTTGGTACATCTGCTGGCAGATTTACATCTTCTGGCAGACTATCCTCACCACCATCTTCCACATTTAAGCACACCAAGCTGCTCTCAGTTTTAAGAAGGTGCCACAAGGGGGGGTAAAGCACATTGCTAAAGACTCCAACAACTGCATTCAACTTCTCAAGGATATTTAAAAGAAAGGATTTGAATGCTTCTTGTCTATGTGAGTGGCTTATTTGAGTGACATGTTTCTTAAACTTGATTCATTTGCTTCAGAAAGACATGAAGTAAAAAAAAAAAAAGAAAAAGCAGTATTTAAAAAAGTTCTAGAATGAAATGTTTCTACTGAAACTACTGTGTCTTTTAAAACACTCAACAGATGGGATATCAAAATCCAGAAAAGCTCATTTATTTCATTGGTCAAACTTGTCAAGCGAGCCTGACTGCTGCGCTTGGGGAAATAATACAAGAAATAAATGTGTTACTTTCCTGTCATTAGTTAAGGCCAGAGAACCACTTTTTAAACACAATTTTTTTCTTTAGTTTCATCTTACCAACAGTCAGAAAGTCTGTCCGATATTGACAAGTCATCCCAAAGCCAAAATCCCGCCAGAAGCCAGAATCCTTCTTGTGTACCTGCAATTTTAAACCAGTATCATTTTGAAATGTAAAATACAACCAAGGAGTACACTGCACTTGGTTTTGCACAAAGTTAAGCTCTTCCAATCATTTTTTCATGCATGTGGGCTGCTGTTCACTTCACCCTCTGCCTTCCAATTCTGCTCACCCTCACTGCAGTTTTCACAGCAGTTTCTGCTGTACCACCTCTATTTCCTATGCATCTTCCCAGACCAAGCAGTAAATTAGTCCATTGCTAAATCATCTGTTCCCAACACTCCATTTCCTACCCATTTTCAAAGGCCACATTTGTCTCTTGATGTGATATGACATGAAAAGTAAGTTTTGTGATTGAAGTCAGCAAGCATAATACTGTTAAATTTAAAAGAGTGAACAGAAGAGCTGTCAGGCAGGAACTCACTCCTCTCTCAGCTGTGATTATCCAAGACTATATGCAAAACCATCCCTCCAGCTTTCAGTAAAAACAACATAGGGGATGAAGGCCATTATGTTTTCCTTTCAGTACAGCTCTTCTTCACACTACTCTCTTCCTTCCTCCTCCAAACCTGTCCATCCCAGAAGTCTCAGCTGCAAAACCCAATTTCATCTATGCAGTGCCTTGAAAGAGAGTCAGACTGGACACATCATTCAGGGGTTTTTGCCTTTCACCAATGCTTTGTTTGCTGGAACATAAGATGAAAGTTGCTGCCATGCAATGCCACCATCCTCCTAAAATACTGGCTTGTGAAGCCAGAATAAGCAGCAGATCAGAACTATCACCTTTATTTGGTTAATAGCAATTGTTTTAAACTAGATGGAACTCCAAGTTTATCTAAGAATGAATTTTGTACTGTTTGCCAAGGTTTTTTTTCCAAGTGCTTTGCCCATAATGGAGAAAACTGTTTAGATATGCAGTGCCAGAGGTTTTTAGATATCCCAAACAGACTATTAAGTTACACTTAGCTTTGTTTTACTACAAAGCACACCTAATTCTATCCAGAATAAATCAAGCTGCTTACCAATTGCTGCTCCACAGGAGGTGGTATATCTTGGTTGGCATAGACAATAGCAGGATTGTAAAGGCTGAATACCACAGGATAGAAAACCTTTTTCCCTGGAAGTCAAAAGGTAATTGTTGTAACTGTGGGCATGCTTTCTGAAGGCAAAAGGAAACCAGAAACATTCTTTTTAATGTAAAATATTACCTATTAGGCATCTAGTGGAAATAAATAAAAACAAGTTCTAGCTGCTAACATTTCCCACCTAGGAAGCCTGTAACATCTAGTAGGACAGAGCCCATAGGATTAAAAAAAAAAAAAGTACATATATTATACATATTACACTCGATTTACATTTATCTATAGTTGTGCATGTTTATATAAAATATTAGGTATCTCAGTATCATTCAAGGTGACTGAAAAATTCCTGCAATAATGATATGCAGTAAAACTAAAAAGAAACCAAATCCAAGTAACACCTTGCGTTGTTAAGTTTTATGAATTTGTGTCTTTCCACAAACGTGTAAAAGCAGGTACATCCAGGATATCCTGCAAGGGCATCAAGCATCATGAGAATCCTGAAAAACACCAGTTCTCTGTCTATTACAGAAGGCAGGTAAATTTTTTTCCCATGTATGTTTTGCACTGCCAATGCTGCAAAGGCATTGACAACAATCCACAAGAATATTCACTATCCTGACTTGGGCATGAACTCTGAAGGACTGAGAAGCATTCTCAGATTTCATTTCAAGCAAAGGTGACAAACTTCCAGCATGAATTTCAAGCAGTCTCTTGAACTCTCTTCCCTGTTAAAGCTCACAAAATAATCCTCTCCAAAATTTTTCCAATTTTTTATACAACTTGTTTCATGAAGTAGAGAGACAGACAGAAATGGAAGACAAAGCAAGAAACAGAACCCAAATATCTGGCTTCTGAAGAATTTTCTTGCCTGTTTGTTAGGTGAAGAAAAAATATCTATTGATTCCAAATTGACATTTGGAGAAAATGGTTTCTGACTGCAACGAATTTGAAACAAGAGTAATCATTAAAAAAAGAACCCAAACACAGATTGACAGGAGGAAGCCTTCAGCAGCATGCTTGTTAACTCTAAAAAGTTTTGCCCTTCTTGGCAGAAGCTTGGAGAACAAGCAAGCATCATACAAAGTTAAGAAAAACAATCAGAATATTTCAGAGCTTGGGATGGAACAGTGGAACATTAGTTCAGTCTCCATACGGAGCACATTGCAGCTCTACTGAAAACCATTCACATGTGACATGTCTTGGCGTACATGTGTGAGAAGAGATAAACATTAACTTGTTACAGATTTCAGCACAACAAAAATCATCTTCCACGGATGGAAGTGGAAGCTACACTGAGTTTTGTTATACAGATTTACATGCAGTGTAATTGTTAAAGCAACAATTACAAAACTGTCCAGCTTTCTTTCAGGTAACTAAATCTTAAGAAAACATGAAAATTGTACAAAAAAGACAATGCGTTCTTAAAACAAGCTACACTAAGGCAGAAGTTATTTCTCAGTCTGATTGCCTTTTGTGCAGAGTGTGATTCATTTCCCAGGGTGTGTGGTACTGAATAAGCACCACAGTTCTAATTGAGTCTTCTTTGTTTTCTGTGTGCTCAGCACAGGTCAGCTGAAGTCAAGCACAAGGTGACAAGGCTCCCCTCCAGCACAATAAGGGAACATACCGGGCTCAGCATTTAAGCGACAGCTGTTGAGGAATTCGGCTGTGAAATAAACATCAACATCACAGAAGAACATCAGGACCTCGCCCTTTTCCCAGGCTCTGGCACCCATGTCAAGTCCTCGGCCTCGGTTAAATTCCTCATTCAGAGAGACAAGCGTGTAATTGTGGAAGTCAGTTTCTCTACAAGAAAAACACAGCCAAACCCAAAATAAATCTGTGGGGAGGGGCAGATGGATCATTTATAGTTTTTTTAACATTTTACAGGAATTTAATTCCAGAAATTTAAAAAGAAAAAGTTACATGACCAGAATGAGAAAAATATATCTGTTACACTTGTCTATTTTAATTTCAAACCTTTTAAAATGATAGAATCAGTCTTACTTTAGAACTTCACTTTGTGTTTAATCATTCATACAGATTAAAAGGCCTTTTGTTAACTGACATGAATTAAAATGCTCTCCTGAATTACAATGGCATCTAAAATTTGTCCCCACAAACCAAGAAGTCCTGACTAACAGAGAAATATCTGTCTTCACAAGCTCAGAGAAGAGGGCAAACAGGAAGCCAGAGTCCTGGCATCACCAGACTCATGGGGCAAAGGCCATCTGTGTGGTGGCACCACCATAACCCAAGCACTTTGCCTCTCCTCGCTGTTTAACAGCGGCACACATGCCTGTACTCACAGCAGAAGAGGGATGGAGCAGCCAAAGAAGACTGGAAACACACTCAGAGAACATCTTCAAGCAAATTTAAGTGTCTACTTCAGAGACACTTCAGAAGACAATGCTTGAAGAGAACAGACTGAAGATATTCAACAGTAGAACCAGTAAAAAGATACAGAACCAGATAAATACCCAGTGAGCCTGCAGCACTGACTCAGTGCTCAGAGGGACATCTCACAGGCAGCAGGGCAGGCAGCAGAGGCCTCAAAAATGGAGGGGTGCAGCACACAGCAGGTGCTAGAGAGACCACAACAAAAAATGCAGGAATTTTCTCTTCCCTTCCTACAAGATGCCTGTACCTGTCAGACCAACTTCCATCACATGCTCCAAGCTGGAGACAAAGCAGCTTGTGTCTAATCTATGTCATGGAGAGGAGCCTGGCGAGCATGGTGAGTCAGGAATCACAGGAGAGCTCAAGGGGAACAGGATCCCAGCTCAGGGGTGAGTGCCAAGAGCTCAGGTAGTGAAGGAGCCCCTTGGCTATAGGGTAAAGGATGCTGACACCTGTCCCATCTCTCTGGAGCAAAAACCATAAAAGACACATTTGGGAATTTTACATCCATACTGATGTAATGCTACTGCTGAGACAGCCATGATGATGCTTTAAGTTATTTTACAGCTGAAAGTAAGTACAGGCCTACTTTGACTACTACATTTCTCTTCCCTATCATTAAATAAAATTGTTTCTTCAGTGAAGTAACTATTAAAATGTACATCCCAGTTCCAAAGAACTTAAATGCTAATCAATCTCTTAGAATGACTGAATATCCACTGCAAAACTCATGCCTGTTGCTTTTTGGACTGTCAGAAACATCAAAGTCTTTTCTGGCTATAACTTGATTTTTAGTAGCCTTCAGGAAACTTTTGCAACCTAAGCTGTAAAATGGCAACCATAGTGTACAGTAAATAAGTAATAAATTTCCTAATAACCTGTAATGGAGTATAAACTTTATTTGGTATATTTCTCCATTCTTTTTAAAAAAACTGTTTAAAATACCAATCAATATTGTTTGTACTGACTGATGCTGGATTGATACACTTACCTAGCTACAGATTCCATGATGCTTTTTACTTCTGATAGACCATCTTGTCCAAAGTACACCACTGTGAGATGAACACGCTTATCCTGATGAATACACACATCCCTATAAGCACAAAGATAAGCTGGTATTAGTAATTACTTGCAAAACTTCAGGTACGTAAAAGCTACTGCATTAAAAAGTATCAGCAGATTGAAATATTCTGGTTAGGTATCAAGTGGCTTCAAAGAAAACAAGGAGAGATGTTTCCCCCTCTTCTTTCCCCATCTTGTCCACGTAAGTCAGAAGGTTCCAATACTGTGTGTCACATTCCAATACCTTATTTTATGAACAGGCACTCTACAACGGATGTAAACACAAAAATTATGTTCAAGATCATCTGTGTCCAGGTTCACAATGACCCTGACATTTGGTCATTGTGCTGCAACTCAAGAATCTCTTAAGCCCTTTTAGAAGGAATCTTTTAGAAGGAATTTTCTCCATACAGTAGGTTCAATTACAAACATCCCAAGGCAGTTGCACACAATGTTGGAATCATTAGCTCTGCTGCAAATCAACCAGAAAAGGAATTCATATTGAAAAGGTAACAAAATACTGAAAATCAGCAACATAGCTCACTATATAATCTCATGCACCTACCTAAAGTTTTGCATAAATTGTGCAAATGCCTCAGTTCTTCCAGCAAGAGGAACAATAACGTTAATGATCGATCTAGAAATATCGACTGTTTCACTCTTCACTTTCATGAGGGGTCCAAAAGGTCGGAACAAGGTGACATGCCTGTACTCCATGCCATCCATCTTCTTATAAAACAGCTCATACTGTGTCCCCTTATCTCTTTCTGTACGATAGTAACCTGAAGAATAAGTCACACAAGTAATATGTAAAGTCAAAGATCCCAGCAGTTGTATTTCAGAAACTGATTTTCCTAAGAACTAAAGAAGCAGGGCAAAGCTTCTGGGTTTCTCCTAAAAACATATGAAACTTCCACAAACTGTTATTAGTCACAATCACCCTTTATACCATTTTAGGTTAGACCTGAGAAACAATCCCAAATGAACTCCAGCTTCCCCTGCTTCTTACAGACAACAGGTTTCATGGTCCTATGCCAATTTCTCAGACAGAATTAAGAGTTTGGTCTTCCCAACAAAAAGGGAATTCAGCTATGTGCTATGGAAAAGGATGGCTGAAATCTAATATTGCCTGCTCTTAAGCCCTTCAGTAAGAATCTAGCTCTGAGCTAGTCCACAGTAAAATCTGAGATCATCTGGCCAGTAATCAACACAAGAAAATCACAATTTGTTCTGTGGGCAGAACAAATGACAGTAAGTTGCTTGACAAAGTCTGCAAAATCTGACATGTACCGTTTAAACAAAACAACTGTGTGATAATGCTGGAATGCTTTTAAATTGTTTTCACTACTGAGCAGTAGTTAATGCTTCCTATCTGATAAATAAGTGGTATTTTACTACACCCACAGTCTTCTTAAGACATAGGCAGACCTTCTGGACAACAATGCTAGTCCCTCCAGAAACAGGACTGTATATTGAGAGATACTCCTAACGGGTAGAAAAAACCAACTGCTTCTTTCAGAACACGGTCCTTTTACTTAAGGACCATCAAAGAAGGAAGTTAAACCAACAGACTCTAATTTTACACTACACAGGAAAGGACTGAAGCTCATCTTCGTTTTTGACCCTGCTAAGCTCCGTGTTGCTAATTCCATATCTATGCTAACCTGACAGTGAGAAACAATGACAGGAAAAATCCTCCATCAAAAATGCCTTATGTTCATCCCATCTCTGCTCTCCTCTCACCAGCAAGGAAAAGAGGTATCATCCAAAAGAACCACAAGCCATACCATGAACTGGCATTACATTCCAGTTAAGTGGCCACCCAGACCATAGAGAAAGTTACAAACAGCTGCATATTCCCAAGCGTGACGCACATCTAGCCCTCACATGATGCTTTTCCATTCACCTGGCTGCCCTGAACTGCCCCTTCTCCAAGCCAGTCTCCTCAGCAGCTGAAATCCCTCCCAGGCCTCCCACCCAGAAAGCAGCTGGTGGCAGAGCACAGAGCAGACAAGCCATTCTGGAAACACAAAAGGCTCTCTTTTGTACCCAGCTTTGATATTGTCATTTTTGTCGTCTTTTCTACAACCTAAATCAACACTGGACAAGGTATGTAAAAGAAACAGCTCTCAGCCTCAGAGCAGCTTGGGTTTGACTGTCTCAGGAACCAGAAAGAATGGATGATAGAGCTTTGGGTCTCTCCTTATGGCCAGGCCAGTATTCTCCATGTTCCCTTCCCTCTCCATACAAGAAGCAAAGGACTGTGCACACCACCCGGACCTGACTTTTCTCTATATCCCAGATTCCATTTACAAAGAAAGAATCCTTTCCCTAAATCTACCTCTGTGTTCCTCTGCTCCGGCCTCCATCCCCAAACCAAACCCAGTTGCATTCACTGATGTTCCCTCCTTCTGCCTAGCAGTCCCTCTTTTCCAGCAAGCTCCTTACACCCCTCCCATCCTCACTCTGTAGTCCATCCTGTCTTGTGGACAAGCACTGGCAGATGCAGTGGGAAACATGCATGACCACCACAGAGAGGCTGTGGGACATGATGTAGAAGAACAAGCTGGTCCATCACGCTGGAAGTCAGATGACTGAACCTCTTAACTGAGAGGCTTTTACCCTTTGCACAAAGTTCTGCAATGTTCTCCTTGAAAAGACTGAAATTCACATTTATGCTTCTGTCAGCATATGCTGATGCATAAGTATTTACCACATTTTAATGCTTATTTTCAGATCATTGTCAATTACAAGCACTGAAAATGGTGTTTCAAACAATGAAAGTCCACAAAGCTGACTGCCAGAAGGAGCAAAAGATTTTAAATCCCTCTTAACCCTTTTCCATTCCAACCCTTTGTGCTGCACAGTCCAGCACTGTAGCTTGAAAACAGCATCTTGGTTATCGGAGCAGCTGATGCACCACTGTGCTTGTACATCATTTTCATGTAAGCAAATACTCTGTACCAGGACTCCTGGGAAAGTAACATTCAGTACTTCATATTTTATTATTTTCTCTGCTATCCAATAGCTATTTACAGATAAAAACACCATTTACAATGTAAGTGAAGTTTTTAAAAGCATATCAGCTGCCAATAGCTTATCTTTAATCAAAAGATAAGCTCAGATGTCAGTCTGCAACAGAAGGCTCTAGTACAGAGTAATATTTTCTAGATTAACTAAAAAAGAAAAACCAAAAGCAAAACCCAGTGCTGTAACTTCATATAGACCTGAATATGCAAATTCAAATCTGAATAGTGCCTTGCCAACATTCAAATGTTGAAATACGAGATTCCAAACTTTTGAATCTCAACATGCTACTAGAGCCAGACTTCTTTTAAATAGTATGTACCCCTCGAGTTATTCTCCTTGCTATGAGCTAGCCTCATGTTGCTAATCTACTAATTCAAATACTTTTATGGGACTAAAGTTTCTATACACAGAAGCCAGATTTGAGAATAGCCAGAAAAAGAACCCACATCTGCTTTACTTCTTAGTGTATTCAGGTTTTTAACACTTGGAACTGACTCATTTAATAAAACCTGTTATCTCACCTTCCAACTAGCATGCACTGGCTGCCATCCAAAACAGAACTCCACAAGCAAAGAGGTAAAAAGCAGCAGAAATAATTTAACAGTTGCTATTCCTGGTCCACAAAGCTTTACTCCCTTTGCAGAAAGTTCTGTTTCTCACCAAACAAATTAAACATAGGAGTCTTGGGGATCAGTTACTATCAAAGCCAAAAAGCTGCTCTTCTATTGCCTTGAATATTACTTGTTTTACAACTACCAAGGAGGTGTTCGGTCTATGGAATTTAAGATGTATGACCTGATTTTCTTGGTGTGTATTAGAATTTTCCACTGAAGTTCCCAGGACAGTGGCCAGTTTCTGGTCTTATGCAGCACACACGACAGGGGCTGCTTGCTCAACAACCATCCACACTCTTCTATGGATGGTAAGCACTTGGAGCTGACAGCACAGGAATTTTACATGACAAGGATGGGTGGGGAGTCTTCCTTTTTGATGATGACCTAAAAGAAAGTTTCTAGACTTTGCCCAGCTCCAATTGGAAACACAGAAGCAGGAGAAATGGACCTGAACAGCACTGCTAGATATTCAATAACAAGACCTTTACTAGCAATTAGCTAATTGCTATTTAGCTTCTGAAAACATGCTGGTGCTTCTGTTTTCCAAAGGTTAATTTTAAATGTTTGTGCAATGGAAGGGCTTTTAATCTCTTGATTAAAAAAGCCAATTACACTGGTAAATGTAAACCCAAATAAGCCAGTTACACTGATAGTGAAGTGTGTCCATGAAGGCTCGTCAAGGCTTCTCTATCAACCATTCAAGACTCAATGTCACAGGCTTCTGGAGAAAGGGAACAGACAGAGGTAATATAATTATCTCCTCTGAATTACTCTCCATTTCTCAATATTATCAAATACTGATCTCAAAGAAATCTATTTTTAATGGAGTACAGTCATAGAACGTGCAGTTCAGCAATTAGGTCCCTTGTTCATAATCCTAAAGGTATTCATTTGTGAAAATATGTAAAACTGCATCTTTTATCCTCTCTAGGGATACTCTTCATCCCTAGAGAATAGGATACTCTTGATTCTCATACACTTAGATCTAATGTAAACACTAAGGAAAAAAAACAAAACAACTTCAAAGTGTTTCTCAAAGAACAACTGCAGAACAAGACTTTTTTTTCAGGTCAGATTTTTGTTCTGTTAATGTTAGAATTCTGGAAGTTTCATTATGGGTTGCTGAAAAGGAAAACAAGTACAGCAAACAGAGTTCAAAAATTTGCTGGTTTTCTCTTCATCAGCAGATTAAGTCAACTGAACTTTGTGAAAAATACTTTGAAGTTTTCAGAAAGTATCTTTGTAGTTGTAATATACACTTAGAATTTTTATTTTTTTTTTTTTTTACCTAGTGTTACTGTTCAAGGCCTGCATATAACCAAGATGTGGCTGTGGCAGCTCTGCCTTATCACAATTCCAAAGTAGATTTGGATCATCACTTTGTCCTGCAACTCTAAAGATATTGTATCAGTTGAGAAAACACTTGGCCAGAGTGCTCCCTGTTGTGGATACAGCTTCCTTGCACCACTGGTAGAAGACAACATCTTCATGCGGAGCCCACAGAAGCTGAGCATGCAGCAAGGCAGATAGGTGAACAGTTAAATCAAGGACACAGAGCAAAAATGCAGAGTGGCAACAAGAAAGTTGGCAACCATCAGCAGGTATTTGGAACTTTTTTGGCCTGCACAGTGTTAAGAGTAATAAAAGACAGTAGATTCAGACTACCACAAATATTCTTGGCTAATTAAGTGTAACTTTTTCAGAAAAAAAAGTTTGTTTAGGAAATTCCTATTTATAAAATAGAAAACAAATAAATTTTAAATTCAAGTTAATGGTATTTGTTGTGTCAAGTTACTCCAATATAGAAAAATCCTAAAACACAGTATGAAAAAAATCATTCTTGATCTTGATGCTTTTTCAAATGAAGACAGTGACAATTCACTGACTGGGCATCAGAAGCAACATAAATGCTGGGAAAGAACTTCAGACATATTCAGCAGACATTAAAAGACACTGCTAAATAAAAAAGTCTGTAAGAAAATGTATTCTAAACTTATTTAAACAGTCACTAAATTCTCTAAGGAGAGAGTACCTGAAAGTACATATCACAAAAAATTTCTTGGTTCAAAGTTTAGTCTACTATTTCACAAGTCTAGAAAAATAGCAGACATAATTTCCAGAACCAAATATTGACCTATATAAAAATAGCCTGTTGAGGTAACAAGCTAGAAGACTTTAGAACAAAAATGCCTATTTTTTGTAGCACAGTTTTGTGGGTAAGTTTTTGTATATGGATATACAGGAGTTTTGAGAAAAAAAATCCTGCAAGTCAGAAGATAAAATCAACTTATCTATACTGAGCATAAAACATGATGGTTATGTATTAACTAATGCAGTACCATGTTTTCTCTTTTGTCCCAGAAGTAAAAAAAGAAAATCCACACACCAAGTTTCTCAGCCTCCAGTTTCAAATTGCACAATACTCTAGTTTTAGTCACAAACCACTTATTACAAAATAATTACCAACTGAAGAGGATGTAGAACTTGAATTATTTGCTTCAACTGAAACCAACTTTAAAAACTGTTTCTCTAAATAAGCAACACTAATTCAGTAACAATTTTGACATGCTCTGAGGACAGTTACAGGACCTGTTTTGACTTCAGCTGACACACCAAGTCTGCTATGCAATTTGATCCTAGTTTAGGACAGTGTAAGGGAGTAGTATTTTACAAACAGAAAGGCATTAGTTTTCCAACTGAACTTCCATCAAAGGGGGATGCACAGGCAGTGGAGGCAGAGTGCTAGAGCCTGTTCATGGGGCTGCAGGCAAGGGACCTGCATGTACCAACACCTGCTGAGTCTGCTTCTTACCTCTGTGTTCTGGAAAAATAAGCGTGGGGAAAAATATGCTACCGTTCAGAAGATGCCTTTTTTTGCTGGCTAAATTAGCCAGTAGTATTTGCACATAAAAACCCCACAGAATACCCACACAGCCCACAACTTCTGTCGAAGAAAGATACTAGTAGATATAGATAATGCTATGGCTGGTTGCTAACACATCCGTATGCAGCATGAAAGACTTGTCTTTCCCTATAGTTCCTGTAACCCTGTGTTGGAAGTTACTGTCTTTACAGAAAAATGAAATCACTTTGATTTCCAAAAACAAATACTGGTGTGAATAGAAGCAGAGGTATGAAGTAAAATTCTAAGGTCCTAGAACTATTTGCTTTCTTGAATGTCTGTCATGAAAGACAGTACACTAGAAAATCAACAGCTATTTCAGTCATGGTAAAATAAAAATCTACTAGAGTATAAGCAAATCCAGAACATCAATGGGAAAGTGGCTGAATATTTAATGTAGAAATAAAGTGCAAGAATGACTTCCCCTGGAAAAAATAAAGAGGTTTTTAAATGAGAACTGTACTAAGAGCCTAACACAGGCTGTATTGCATTGACCCAGCTGAGTGGATTCCATGCCCTGCACCACCTTCTGGAATGAAGAAGAGAACTTGCATCAAACTTTAAAGTCAGTAGCTGTTAAAACTGTTTGCACTACAGACCAATTACATCATCTGAGACTGAAAGAACCCATTATTTCAAAGCCAGCAGTACCTTTCTCCAGCATGTTTGCTTAATAATACAGACATCAGTACTTACTCCAGAATCCCTTCTACATAATGGTCTTTTATCGTGGTCCACCTTTTGGCTTTTAATGGCAGCATGAACTATATTTAACACAGTAAGTGTAAAGCAGAGTTACTAGGGCAGCTTTTGATAATACTGATCTCCATTGCACGAGACCATACCTTGAAGGCCACCTGCCATAGGATTTGTCACTACTGCATCTTTTAAGGGCCTTACAAAGTGTTGAAAGTTTAACTGCTACATATGCCTTTATAATATGTGTTCTGCAATTAAACTTACAGACACCGAGACAAAAGAGAGAGCAAGAGAACAGTTCAAGGCTGCACAGCTTAGCAGACCCCATAAGTGTATGAAAGGTCTATTCAGGACACCAAGTTCATCAGCTGACAGGCCCAGAACACAGCCTCCCTCTCCCTCCAGAGACTGTGACTCCAGTTGACTGTGTCAACGCTAAGAGAGTCAAATGCCTGAATATTAACTAAAAGTGGTATAGAGATGAGTGAAGAAAAACCATGTAGCTTCATAGTGGATTGCTTAATTGTTCTGGTACATGAGAGATGAATCAATTTCTCCCTCCCACTGCCATCAGTGTCACTGAAAGTCTTTCTGTTATTTAGTACCATAAGCAGCTGTGTCACACTGACTTTGGCTACAATTATGAATGCACCCATATTTTAAATAGATACAGCTTCCCCTGTACACCTCTTGTGGTGAGCCCTTCTGAAATGCATTTGTCACTCCACTAAAAACCCAAGATAATGAAGCCGTAACATTCTCATCGTTAGAAATAAAGGTTCTTATTGTGCAATTACTCTTCAAGACTCTATCCAAGTAGGTAAAACATCTAAAAATAAAAACACCATTTAATGCCTGTTGTGACATTCTGCTAAGGGGCTGGGAAGCATGTGAACATACCTTCTAAAAAATCATTTTCACTATATAGCTGCCTGTCTCCTACTCCATCATCTTCATCTTGTCCATCTTCTTCATCTGGATTATTGATAACTTCTAGGCCAGCCTCGATAACTTCCACCAATTCATCTCGTTTATCCTTTCTAACGGGTTTCTCTTCTGGATGCCGAGTGAGCCCCATCTCCAACTGGAATACTTTCATGGATGTAAAGCTTTCAAAAGGAATGACTCCATACTCACTAGGCAGTTTGGCCCCCACGCTCACCTCAGCTTTGTCGATCTGGGAATGAAGAAACTCTAGGAGATCATTGGATGTTTGTTCTTTGGTGCCCTGGTAGTTCATACCATTGACCTTTGGGCTCTTTTTTTCCTGCAGGGACTTCAATTTGTCACTCATTTCCTGAAGCTCTTGCTTTAGCTGGGCAATCTGACGTTTCAGACTCGTAGCTCGGTTCTGATAATGCTCTTCTTGCTCCTGCAAGAGAGCTTGATAGTATTCTTTACCCATGCTTTCACCTACGACACCAGGCAGAGATCCGTTGCCATCTGTTTGTGGAGCACACTCCAGCAAATACATGAGCAAGACTAAACTGAATAGTAAAGCAAGGCCCACCAATAGCCAACGAGTCCTGGCTTGAATTACTAAGCCTCTTCTGGGCATTCTCATATTATTTCTGTTTCCAATCCTAAAAGATGACTTATCTGCTCTTGCTTTCCAGCGGACATCACCCCACACTTGAAATCTTAGAAAAACAGAGAAAGCATAACTATAATAGCTACTACAAGTTCTGGTAACATAGCTGATGAGCAGTTTTCAAGCTTTGCATTTAAGTGTTTGCATCAGGTGTTATTGCAAAGATGTAAATCTGAAGTTCCTATGTCATCCATAACCATCAACTGTAAGTCCGGTTGACGCCATACAATTTGTTCAGGATTTCCTACCCCAAACAAAAAAAAACTGCGAAGAGGGAGGAAGATGGAAGATACCAGCAAGGAATCATATTTCCATTTCCTAATTCAGCCCTGGTTGAAGTGGCTTAGCTTATTTGATGTTTTATGAGGGAAATCTGCAAAAGTAATTTTGTAAGCTTTGAATAGCAATTTCCCCCCCCCCCCACTGTGTGTGAGAGCAATCTACAATTTAGTAATAGTAATTTTCATTGGCTAGTCTTGCTTTTCCTCTGGCACTTGAGTATTTTATTCCACTTCCCCTCCTTTCCTTGGAATCTGTGGTTTGAGTCAGCAAAATGAAGACAGAACCTAAAATTAAAAGAAAGGTGCAATTAGAACTACAAAGCAAACAGTCATTTGAGAAACACATGAACAAAGTTCTAACACATGCATGCAAAAGACTGCTGGTGGGGGGAGTGAGAAAGGGAGAAAGAAAAAACATTTATTTCCTTGGCATTACCCATCAGCAACTCCCTTTGACATAGTGTCTGGAAAATAATAGTATGGACAGTCCAATAAAACACATTTGTCACACAGCTAGCCAAAGCAGTAACAGTTCTAGTCTCACCACAGTTTATTTCACGTTTGTCTTAACTCCCCCATTCTTCCTTGGGCTTCTGTTTTGTTTTATTCTGTGAGAGGAAAAAAAGATACCAAAACCCCATGCCTTTCCTACTCCTCTAAACTAAAAAAACAAAACGAAACAAGAAACCAACCAACCAACCAAAAAAAAAAAATCCATGAACTATTTTGAAGTAGCATAAACTTGCAATTTCATTTGTTTTTACTTTAGGTAAATATCTTTCAGGGTATAACTGTTCACTCATGAATAAAGTATTATAGATTTAAATATCAAAGTTTACAGAAACCACATCTCAGATTAAGTCAAATTCAGCAGAAATTAAAATTCAAACGCCAATCCCTGACTGATGAAAGGGATCCTGAAATTATCCATCTGCTAATACTTCCATCTTCTGATATGGTTAGGGCAGCATGAAGAGGCAGTGACCATTTTCATGGGTCACACTCTTATGTGACTGACCAAACCAGCCTAGAGCAAAAGACCAGAGAGACAGACCACAGTTATGCAAGAGGAGGATCCTACTCAGCACTGAGAGCCAGATAAATGTTTTACAATGACAGCAGAAAAAACTAAGAAGTAAGCTCAGTGCATGTTAGTCTACTTTCAAAATTAATAAAATTCTTTCATTTAAAATTTGCTTGTATAAAATAAGTGAAGCTCATTAAAATTTATCCAGGGACCTATTAGCTCTACATCCATTTTGACTGTGTTATGCAATTATGGTTTGGGGGAAGTTCTTAGAGTCCCAGTTTAGTTTCACTATCCTTATGAGACTAGGAAAAAAAATGCTCACTCTCATACTCCTTCTATATGGGTTAGACAAACTTATCTGGCACTTCCAGGTGCCACCCACACCCATCTTGTGCTGACCCTGTGGGTCAGTCAGGGCACCACAATGCTCCCCATGTGTTTACAGCAAACACCTGGCACTGTCTCCCCAGTTGGGTCTTTGTGACACTCCTCCCTTCCCATTCAGCTTCCAGCACCAGGATACTGCTCCAATGTGAATCAGGTACCCCTGACTCACACTGATACCCCTGATACCAGTGGTATCATCATATTCAGCATCTTCACTTGTGAGAAAGCTCCAATTACAAGGCCTGAAAGATTAAGTGACTTACTCATACCACCAGCACAACGCCTGCCACAGCCAACCCGAAGTTTGCAGGCATATCACACACACCAAGTTTGTGGCAAGAGCTGCACACCTTGAAATTGTCCTGCTGAAGTCTATAGGACTGCTTGAAGCAGCTTTTAGTATTTGTAGTGCTAAAGTCTATGTTAATAAATAATGTACACAGATTATGTAGAAAGTCTTAATACAGTAGATTAAAGACAATTACTCATCTAAAACTGAAGCTTTTGGAACTCATGGAAAGCTACTAGAGACTTTGATACAAAATAAGTAACAGTTTTATCAACTGAATACTAGATAACATGCTTTCCAGTCCAGACAAGCCAGAAGTTAGTCACTCCTCACTGCACAAACACAACATTATATAAATGCAAGTTGAACGCCTATGAAGAGTGATCAACACCAGATGTATCCTCAGACTAGTGACCAGTGTCCAGATGTGATGGATCAAGGGAGACAGAATAAAAAAATCTACAGGATAAAACCAGTTCACAGAAATGACATAGTATCATCCCAAACTTTCTTCAGTACAAAGTTGTCCATATGATGTTTCTTTACCAAATTCTTCTTCTGTTAGACTGCAAGGGGTGAAGCCACAATTAAGAGCATAAAGACCCATAAGTTTCTTTACACCTCAGTAAATGCTAAACTGTACTGAAGCTACTCTATGAAGAAGCTGATACATCCTCAATCAGTAAAGGCATATTGAAAAATGATCAACCTATCTAACTTGTATAAAATACCAGTAAATCAAGCCCCAACTATTCTAATTGTCATGAACTGACAAACCACTACCTCTGAAGATGGAGCATTAGTTCTAGTAGGCTTTTGTAGCCAATCCTAGCTCTAACAATAAATGGCCGTGTGCTCAGCTTTGAGGAGTCACTAACTTTAGGTCTCATTCATGTCTTAGAAACAAGGGACAACAGATCTCCTGATGTGGTGTCAAGAGGACACAATGTACCAGGAGATTAAGATCCCCTTGGAGAATAGCAGGGGCCAGAGAGAGAACTCTTGTTCCTCAATACCTTTCCTCACTGTGGCCAAACAGACCATGGTAAAAATCATGGTAAGCATGGATTAGGGAGGCCAACACACCCCACGGGACTGCTGCTGGGTATCTGCAGATTTCTGGCCCTTCCCACTGGCATTTGACCTATTTACAGCAGAGGGCTGTTTGGGGGAGCACTGCCCTGAGGGGTGCTCAGGGAAGAGATACAATAAGCCACTTCTGAAGCAATGAGAACTACATGAGCTGGGCTGTAAAGAGCTCACTGGTACTTTTCCTTCTAGGCTCTAATTATTCATTAGCTGAAACCCTTTATCTATGGGCTAGTGACAATCCTATTAACAAGACGGCCTTTTTTACAGAGAGAGGCATTGCCTATTTAGGTTTGGCCATTTTTTGCAATAGACTATAAAGAACAGGTGTTTTTCCCACTAGAGCTTCACCGTGGCCTTTAAAGGCTAGGGATGTTTGTGCAACCAGTTATGCTGAACATTAAAATTTTAAATTGCACATGGAGAGCTGAATGGGTTAGTTTGCTAAAGCAGTGGGAACTGAGCCAATTGACATTTTCTTTCTTCTTTCAGGATTACTTCTGCTGAGGGAAGTCATCATAAAGAAGACATTTCATCTTGAATACTTCAAAGACTCAGTAAGAGAAAGAAAGCAGTAAGAATCTTCCTTATTATCCCACTGGAAAAGAAGGGCTTATGAGTATTCTATTGCACTGTCCACTCTTTTCAGAAGAAAAAAAAAAAGGGGGCAGCCCTGTTTTTGCATATTTACAACCCAAATTTGATATGAATTTGGTCTGACACAGCCCTATTTTAGGAATTCGAGTAACTAGGCTGTAGAATATGATTACAAGAGAAAGCAGGCTGTGAAACCCCAGAACAAGCAAAAGCACATGGGATCCCAAAAATCACAGTAGGGAAACTAATTGGGTTACATGGAACATTTTGAAGTTTATAAAAAAAGACAGTAAGATTACCAGGTAATAAGTAATCACAAAGAAGTCCCTAGAATTTCAGCGCTTAAAGATTAAGTTCCAAAACTTTAAATTGCACATGCTGGTATTTAATTTCATATCAGTTCTTCAGAACATGTCTATTTGCAATGGTCTGTATGATCTCCAAAGAAAGAGACATCTGAGGCTTATACAATGTTCATGAAGATCTGCTTGTTTTCCTGAAGCACCTGGTTGTTAATTCTTTTTGCATTTCCAGGGCCTTCCCTATATTCAACAATGGAAATACTTCTATTCCTTACAAAAAAGTTCATTGATTCTTTAAGCACAAGGGAATAGACCAGGATGCCAACTGAAAATGCTTTACATTTATTTTATTATATTAGCATTCTGGTTTTGTTCCTTGTTGCAAAGGGTGAGTACATCTTTCTGAAGTGAGGAAACATTAACACTTAAAGCAGTGACCTAATTCAGTATTCACTTGGCTTCAAGCCAGACCGTGGGGACATTCCTTGTGTGAGCATGTTTTACTTTAGACATGTCCTTTTCATTCAGCATGCCCTAGATGGTCACTGTTTAGCTACTCATGAAATTCCAGCTGAGAGTTATTTTATTGTTCATAATTTCACCCAGATGCCAGAGATAGCCACTGTGTTAAGCCTCGTCCACACACATATTTTTCTTCTTGGCAAGTTATACAATGAAAACATAAGGTCCAATCTCATCCCTTGCATATTCCCTTCTTAATCTGAACAACAGTGCCACTGAGAACAGAATAGCTTGGAATGTTAGAGGAACACTGTGTACACCTTTGTCTTCTCACTTGCTGAAACCAAACACAAAGCAAGTTGGGCATCTGCTGTTGCAGAATCTTTGCATAAACTCCAGAGTGAAAAACCTCAAATCATACTTTAAGTACCACATCATCACTGCTCAGACAGTCCACTGAGGTATAGTCTCAGAAAAGACAAAATAACTTCTCCAGGGTTTTATGACACAGTCCTAGCTGAGCCAGCACCTAAGTCAGACTTGTCAGCTACTAGGAAGAAAGGAAGAGAGAAAAAAAAAAAATCACAAGAATTAATTGCTGAAATTCTCACTTTCCACAGAACACTAGTCAAGAATCTCACCCTCTCTATTGATCATCTTACAATTCTGCCATCTGATTTTCAGCTATTGCTCTGCCTCCCAAGCATACACACATATGCATTGCTGAATGGGAGAGAAGTTAAAAGCCACTATCAATTCACGGAAAGACAACCTGCATTCAATAAAACCAACAGGAAAGTGAAAATAATCACAATATATTTCAGACCTTATCAGTTTCACACTGAATTCTGAAAAATCTGAACATTTTGCTTGTACACATTTCAACCACTGCCTATGGTAAATCAATCACATCAAACACACGCAGCAGCTTATTTTCAACTTTTTCAAAGTTTAGAGCATGACACACTGATCTAATTCATCCCAACTCCCCCCTTTAGTTGGTAAGCACTGAATTTCAGTTTTACTGCTCACTTTACCTGGTTGACACCAAAAGGAATTCTTCAAGCTACCTCTTGATTTTCATCAGTTTCCTTTCCTCTGCCAAAGCTAGAGTCCCATGGGGGAAACG